ATGGGCCACAGTGAAAGTAAGTATATTGATTTTTATGTTTTCTTGTTCCCTCATCATGGAGAATTGATGCACAGTTCTGTCAGGGAGATCCATGTGAAGGACTGGATGATTACAGATGCAAAAGATGTTATCAGCTATCTGGGTCACAAGGGCACCACATAATCCCAAAGCTGAAAAAGAAAATGGCTTACAAATACATTTTTAATATATATAAGAATAGCCAGAGAATCTTTAGAAATGGAAATTTTGAAATACTCCAGCATAGGTCTTACTTTAAGACTGTTATTTTTAGATTCTATATAGAAAAATTTACCTGAATTTTGCCAATTGTGGATGCCAAAAACTAGAGGAGTTTCTTTTTTGCTAACATGGTTTTATGGGGTATCATTTAAAGAGCTAATGACCCCTCTATATTATCAAGTGAAGATTTTCAACAAAGATTTTTGGTAAAGCATACGTCTTTGGATATATGTTTCATTCATTCAAAGATATAAACTAATGTCCCTAGAACAGTGCCTGGAAGGCCCTGCACCAGAGAGAGAAATCTCTCTATTGTTGGCTTTCCTAGTGCACCTGCAATGGGACAAGGTGACTTTAGTTGCTGTCTGTGCTGTGCAAGGTTGCCCTAGGAATTGGCAGCTTGACTTTACCCATTGCTTTTTGTGCCCTGTATTTGTGCTGAATTAATATTTTCGTTGTATCTTCAGTACAACAAGGTGTACAGTTTGTAGTTCTTCGTTCAAAGACTGGCTTATTGTGTGCTGTGTTTTCAGCTGTAGAGAAAGAATGCTAAGAGCTTGGGTGAAGTTACCCATTGTATATGCAGAAACACATGAAAAATCTATGGATGTAAGTGGATTTTTTTAAGTTTGTCACAGCTTAGGACTTGTGATCCACTGCAGCGAAGTGCTGAAATGAAAAATTCTTCTAATAAATGAGTAAGAATGCATGCGGAGGAAGTGAAAGCATGGTATTACACAGGGAAAAAAATTTTCTGGAGAAAGAGCAGGAGAATTCATGTATGAACATTATGCTGAATGAGGACAAAACTGGAATAGCAGTTACTCGACCTGAAAGAGCTTCAGAAACTGGAAACCACTATCTGAATAAACTGTCTTCATCCATTCATGTGTCTGTATTTCTTCTTTATGCTTTCTTCGTAAGTGGCCATAACAATCGTCTATGCTGTTTACGTTTCAGTCATGTGAAGTAGTTTGTACTAAAGGATCTTCTGTAATGCCTGACAGTGTGCATAAATTTCTTTTACATTAGGTGCTGGTGAGCAACAGTTCAGGGACTTAGTGACTGTATTGTTAAAACTTGAAACAGAGATGGACTTTGCTGGCCTGCATCGGGGTTTTGGTGTTTCAGTGCACAGAATCATTGTATTCCAGGCCTCCTATTTTGGATGTTTTGCCACCATTAAAATTACTTTTACAAGTGAAAATGCACACATTTAAAATCTTTGTCATGGTATTTAAAATACTTATTAGTGTCATGGTTTAAGACCAGCCGGTAACTCAGCACCATGGAGCCACTTGCTCACCCCTCCCCTTCCCCTCCTCCATTAGCTAGTATGGGGAAGAGAGTTGAAAGAATATAAACCCCATGGGTTGAGATAAGGACAATTTAATAACTAAAATAAGGTAAGATAAAGTGATAATAGAATACCAATAATAATAGGAAACAACAAAAGAAGATGGGTAACTTCAGAAAACACAAGTGATGCACAATACAATTGCTCACCACCCACCAACCGATACCCACCCCAAACCAAGCAGCAATTTGCCCTTCCAGGTAACCCCCCCAGTTTATATACAGGACATGAGGTGCTGTGGTATGGAATACCCCTTCAGCTAGTTTGGGTCAGGTGTCCTGTCTCTGCTCCCTCCTGGCTTCTCATGCCAGTGAGAAGAGTGTGCAGCAAGCTCACTGCCCTAGGCTTCAAGAGAGCAGACTTTGGCCTCTTCAAGAACCTGCTCAGTAAGGTTCCATGGGACATAGCCCTAGAGGGGAGGGGGGCTCAAGACTCTTGGTTGGTCTTCAAGGATCACCTGCTACAAGCTCAGGAGTGTTGCATCCCAACTAGAAGGAAGTGCAGCAGGAGGGCCAGGAGACCTCTTTGAATGGATAAGGAGCTGCTGAGGAAAATTCAAATGAAAAAAGTCTTATAGAAAGTGGAAGCAAGGACAGGCGGCCTGGGAAGAGTACAGGGATGTTGTCCGGGAAGCTAGGGACCAGGTTAGGAAAGCTAAGGCCCAGTTAGAATTAAACTTGGCTAGGGACATTAAGGATAACAGGAAGGGATTCTACAGGTACATAGCAAATAAAAAACAGACTAGGGAAAACGTAGGCCCCCTCAGGAAGCTCTCGGGTGAACTAGCTACACAGGATTTGGAGAAGGCTGAGGTTCTTAATGACTTCTTTGCCTCAGTCTTCTCTAGCAAAGGCTCTGACCGCACCACCCAAGTCTTGGAAGGCAGATGCAGGCACTGTGAGAATGAAGACCTTGGGCCCACTGTAGGAGAGGAATTGGTTCAAGACCATCTTAAAAATCTGAACATGCACAAGTCCATGAGTCCTGATGAAATCCATCTGCGGGTCCTGAAGGAGCTGGCAAATGAAGTTGCTAAGCCACTGGCCATCATATTTGAAAAATAATGGCAGTCAGGTGAAGTTCCAGATGACTGGAAAAGGGAAATATAACCCCCATTTTCAAGAAGGGGAAAATGGATGACCCGGGGAATTACAGACCAGTCAGTCTCACCTCTGTGCCTGGCAAAATCTTGGAGCAGATTCTCCTGGAAGGCATGCTAAGGCACATGAAAATCAACAAGGTGCTTGGTGACAGCCAGCATGGCTTCACTAAGGGGAAATCCTGCCTGACCAATTTGGTGGCCTTTTATGATGGGGCTACAGAACTGATGGATAGGGGTAGAGCAGTTGATGCCACCTACCTGGACTTGTGTAAACCGTTCGACACTGTTCCACACGACATCCTTGTCTCTAAATTGGAGAGACATCAATCTGATGAATGGACCACTCAGTGGATAAAGAACTGGCTGGATGGCCGCACACAAAGAGCTGTGGTCAATGGCTCAATGTCCATCTGGAGACCAGTACCGAGTGGTGACCCTCAGGGATCAGTGTTGGGACCAGTCTTCTTTAACATCTTCATCACTGACATGGACAGTGGGATTGAGTGCGCCCTCAGCAAGTTTGCTGATGACACCAAGCTGTGTGGTTTGGTTGATAGGCTGGAGGGAAGGAATGCCATCCAGAGGGACCTTGACACGCTTGTGAGGTGGGCTGATGCCAACCTCATGGAGTTTAACCATGCCAAGTGCAAGGTCCTACACCTGGGTCGGAGCAATCCCAGACACAGCTACAGATTGTGCAGAGAAGAGTTTCAGAGCAGCCCTGCGGAGAAGGACTTGGGGGTGCTGGTCGATGAGAAAATGAACATGAGCCAGCAGTGTGGGCTTGCAGCCCAGAAAGCCGATCGTATCCTGGGCTGCATCAAAAGGAGCATGACCAGCAGGTCGAAGGAGGTGATCCTGCCCCTCTACTCTGCTCTCGTGAGACCTCACTTGGGAGTATTGTGTGCAGTTCTCATGTCCTCAACATAAAAAGGACATGGAACTGTTGGTACAAGTCCAGAGGAAGGCCACAAGAATGATCAGGGGACTGGAGCACCTCCCGTATGAAGACAGGCTGAGAAAGTTGGGGCTGTTCAGCCTGGAGAAGAGAAGGCTGCATGAAGACCTCATAGCAGCCTTCCAGTATCTGAAGGGGGCCTATAGGGATGCTGGGGAGGGACTCTTCATTAGGGACTGCACTGATAGGACAAGGGGTAATGGGTTAAAACTTAAACAGGGGAAGTTTAGATTGGATATAAGGAGGAAATTCTTTCCTGTGAGGGTGGTGAGGCACTGGAATAGGTTGCCCAAGGAGGTTGTAAATACTCCATCCCTGGCAGTGTTCAAGGCCAGGTTGGAGGAGGCCTTGGGTGATATGGTTTAGAGTGAAGTGTCCCTCCCCATGGCAGGGGGGTTGGAACTTGATGATCTTAAGGTCCTTTCCAACCCTAACTATTCTATGATTCTATGACTAAATATGATTTCACTGTCTTCAGATTCTGCTTTATCTGCTTAATCTGCAGCAGGCCCACAGTTAATGCTGACTTTATTCCCAAGTCCTGTGTTTCTTGAGACCTTCACAAAGAATTGTCTGCATTTCTGCTAATTAACTTACCATTAGGATAGTGGATAGTATCAAGATTATTAAAAACGTAAATTCTAATCATCTGAAGTAAGATAATCCCTGGCAGCGTTCAAGACTAGGCTGGGTGAGGCCTTGGGTGATGCCTTGGGTGATATGGTTTAGTGTGAGGTGTCCCTGCCCATGGCAGGGGGGTTGTAACTTGATGACCTTAAGGTCCTTTCCAACCCTAACTATTCTATGATTCTGTGATTCTATTATTCTGTAATGGGTTTACTAGCGCAAAAGGTGAGAATGAGAGGACGTATATATGTTGCGAATGTATAAACATATTTCATGTGGTGTCTCATGTTGTTCTGAAGTCTCAGGTACAAATAAAGCTGATTAGTATGATTTTTATCCATTTCTTATAATGATGCTGCTTCTGATTCAAGAGTAAGCCCTGAATTAAATATAGCACCTTTTATTCCTTGAAAGCGTATTTGCCAGATGGAATAACTTCCTGAAATAATGAGCAGTTACTGCTTTCAGCAAAATTGATTTCTCAACTAAACAGTAACAACCATTACCAAATATCTTTTAATTTGCATATATCATGTCAATTCAAACCAACTTATTTTAAATGTTTTAAGCTATGTTACTATGCCTATTTATATTGATTTATGTGAATATTTACCACAGATTTATTTCCTATATGCATTAAGTTCAGAAAATCTGTAGTGATCTCATACCTTAATTCCTAACAGAGGACGTTACAAAACATAAGACTTTCTTCATCAGAAATTTCAAACATCACCTTATTAGCTGCAGAGCACATCACAAAGGCCTAAAGTAGACAAGATTATGTTTCTGACATTATAGACAGTCTAAAACCTTACTTTGACATTACAGGTTTATTCAACTTAATAGTGTAGCTGATTTAAGCAAAAAAAAAAAAAAGTAAAAACTAGTGTCTTCTTTTCAGCTGAATTTCACATGAAGAGAGGGATTTTAGCTAACCTCTCAAAAAAAAAAAAAAATTGTACATGTTTTTCACTACTGAAGACAAGAAACAGTGCCAGTTCCTAACATAGGTGTCGGATCCTGAAGAGACTGCAGTTCCAGAAAAGGAATTGTTTGACAGCTTACCAAGCACATCTACAAAAAAAAAACGCTTTGTCAGAGCTGTGGGGTTACTCAAGAGTATCTGAGAGATTTGCTGTTTTCACTATGCCAGCTTCCAGAGTGGGCATATTTCATAGAATCCCAGACTGGTTTGGGTTTGAAGGGACCTTAAAGCTCATCCAGTTCCAAACCCCTACCATGGGCAGGGACACCTTTTACTAGAGCAGTTTGCTCCAAGCCCCATCCAATATGGCCTTGAGCACTGCTAGGAATGGGCTATCCACAGCTTCTCTGGGCAACCCATTCCAAGCACTCTGCTGTGTGGAGCATGGCCACACATGGCTTCTCTAGGCTGTCTCTGACCCACTTCTGAGATTTTCAAGACTTAAAGCAGCTGGCCTGGTTGTCACTCCCACTGTGCTTGGGAAAAGCTGAAGGGAGGGTTCAGTTCCTTAGCTCTGACTTGTACAGAAATGATGATGTTGCGTGCATGTGAGCATTCACTGCTTGTCACCCATTATTTCCTTCACCTGTAAGCACCTGAAGCAAGTTTTAGTGAAGATGGTGCTGAGATCTCTACCCAACAAACCCTCCCTTCTGCTTTGTTTTCATTTGTTAGGCAAATTAATGCTCAGAAACAAGGTGGGCTAGATGAAAACTGAACTGCTCTTCATCTTAACCTTCCAATGTTTTTATGTTATTGTGCTAGTCAAGACGTTAACAACTTTTTAGAGGACTCTATTGATTACTAGTGAACTGAACTCCACAAGGTGTGAAGATATTTCAGTGGTATTAAAGAAGGAAAAAAATGAGCTGTGGAAATTTTAATAGCATTGAAACAATTTAGAGCACCCTTAGGACTGGCTGGGGTGACCTCATTTAATTCCTAAGCCTTCTACTGGCCCAGTAAAGCTTAAAAGAAGCATTGGAAGAAGGATCACAGCCCTTCTAAATATAGCTATTGGAACCAGCTAACAGAGCACTACATCAGATGAATATTTATTAGGTAAAAGATCACGCCTTTGCAGTATGAGAAACATTAGGGGAAAGTTCCCTAGTGCTCTTTACTAAAGAAAGATAAATTTTGCTAGGCATCTGAGTTTCCTTCTCAGTGCAGTGACAATTTGTCCTTGTTATTTGTGTGCAGAGGGGGAACTGAATGTCAATATAAAGGAACCACTGACTACTTTATGAGAGGGGCTTAATGCTTTCTTATGTGGAGCACCCTCCAATGTCCTTTGCTAATCCTTTTATGACAAAATTAAAGATGGTTTTAACCATGATGTTTCAGAGGATCCAGAATCTGATTAAAACAGTGAATGAACATTTGTTTGTTGAATGTCCATTTTAGAATTTTCATTGTTTGCATAGCATATTTTTAGTTTAAATGTTATGCAAACAATACCTTAAAGAAATCATTTGGTGGTTTTGTTACTAAGAATGTACTAAATTAAATAGTTTGCTTTCAGGGAACTAAAGACCACTGTTTTCACTTCATTCAAGAAATGCACCCAAGAAAATACTTGCCTCTTGTTTAAAATTCTCAGTGCTCTGGCTTTATTCATACTAAATGTTACCTATCTTGACTTTCAAATCATAGCATGTACCTGAGTATAGTTTGTAAACAGCAGTATCCCTAGCCTGTCAGCAGAGCCCACTGTTAAGCATGCATAGGCATCAGCCTGCTACTGCTTCTGCCTGAACCACACTAAAAAAAAAACCTGTTTCTAGCTTGTGTTTTCATGGTATTCTAAAGCACAAGTCAAGACAGCAAAGGAGTTTATATTTGGTTGGTTGGTTTTAAGTTTGCATTAAGAAATACAGCAACTCACTTTTCTCCCTGTTCCATCACTCAAACACCACTGAGAACATTAGCCTGGCTGGCAGCATTTTAAGCTGAAACAGCACAGAAATGTAGAGACCCAGGTACCTACAGACACAGAACACTCAATACATTATTTCTTGAGAAAGTTTAACATGGTTGAGGATTCTTCTCAATATTGCAGTGTATATAAATGAGGAGACTCCTATTTTTATTTCTTACCTAATAATTTTCAATGGGGAGAGAAAACAGAAACCGGAACTTGTGGAATATTGGTAGCTTGGAGACCAAACAGAGCATTCAGGGAGCCTTTATTAAAATGCTTATGTTCAAAGAAATTAAGGCTAGCAGAATTCCTAACATTTCTCCACAACCAGTGAAGTTTCACAAAAAAAACCCCTTAGTTCCTTGAGTTAGTACAAATCTCTTAGCTGCTAAAAACGCAGATGTGACCAACATGCCACAAATTGGGAAGACTCAGACAACCCCAATTCTGAGATTGCTACAGTGACAGTACACGACTGGGGGAATATGCTCAGGTAAATCTGTGGCTAATCTGGCTTGACCGTGTTTTATTCACACTAACAGGCTGGGCAATCAGTACGGCACTGAAGCACAAAAGCAAGACTTTCATGAAAGACTTTAAGAATCTGACTTACCCTGCTTACAATCTCACCTCCAATTCATCTCAGTCCTGCTGTTGACAAAGCAAATAAAAAGTCTGTTGGCACTTTTTTGTTGCTATCATGAAAGTCTACACACATCTGCTCTCCTGTCTGCTGCTTGAAACCAGCTGGCTTGGCTGCCAGAAATAACGCTGCAGTGGCAGCAGGAAGCTGCATACAGTCTGATTTATCCTACTGAGATGTGAGACACGCCAGTGCTTCTGCAGCAATGGCTTGTCCCCCTGCTGCAAGGTTGCACAATTTCTGCTGGGTCTGGCTTAGTAATGTTGCATAGCTACACAAGAGTATTTGCATACCATCTCTTGGCCCAAGGTTTCTTTTCTGTCAGGAGTTAGCCTTTGGTGATGCCACAAAAGTGGGATGCTGCAATACCTTGAATCACTGAGAACTGGTTTTGTAACAGGAACTGAAGCAGCAGAGGAGAACCCTGAGTTTGGATTTGTCTTCTTAGCTACTGCAGATGGGACTGAACCTGGTTTGCCTTTCATATCCTAATACTAGTAAGGAAAATGAGGTGGTTCATTGCTTGTACTGATAAACAGCAGTCGTGTTACAAATAACTCTCTAGCAGCAGCTTGTCTTGCTCCTGTAGGTTTGAGAGGGAAATGGCATTTGTTGTCTTCACTAGGAAAATTCTAGTCGTGCATTAGACCATTGAAACAGTAGCAAATGGAGAGACAACTAAAACTCTTGACCGAAATACAAATCCAGTTTAGTGGCTGAATGCTTATTTTTAGCCTCTCCAGAAGAACCAAATTGTGCAGCAATGTCACATGCTGTGTCAGAAAGATGTCATATTGCTGTGTGAAATTCAGAATGGCATTTTTAGAAGCAAATACATACTTATAGAGCTTTTCTAGCATGTGTCTTGAATAGATTCAGCCTGCTGTAAAAATGATACCCATAAAAAATGGGGCAGCTGCAGTAGAGATACTCAAGTTTCACGACATCTTTTCTTCCTAAGAAAGAAAATTGACAAAAATGAGTGTGCTTCTGGAACATGTAGGCACAAATTTGGGACAGCTCTTCTATGTGAGAAAGACGCAACTTGAAGGTCGGAAGGAAGCCTCTGCCTCTCCCTGGCACCTGCAGCAATCCCCACCTTTGTTTTGGACATGGGGCTTATATGCAATGCTCGCTAGGCTTTTCAGTGAGGGGTTAAGCCCATGCCTTGGGGGCCTGGGGATTTTCCAACTGCCTCCTCCAGGCCGCGGGGTCTCTGCCACGCTCCTCACCTCAGAGCGAGCTGCAGAGTCTTGGCTTGGGACCACCAGGTGAGAGCCAGCCAGCCAACCCCACTCCTGCGGGCAGCTCCAGCTGCCGAGGACGGTTGTGTTAACTGGCCTAATAATCTCCCAGCCCTAATTGCGCTGAACTGCTATAATCACATTAAATTACACTGTGTTGCAACCAACTCTCACATGCAGCTGGCCAAGGCGGGCAGCAGTACCCACCCACAGGCACAACCTTGCTGATCACCTTCACCTCAGATGCTACGCGCGCCCGCCGGGCCCTTTAAGGGGGGGCGGGGGCGTGGCCCGCCGCAGCGGTGACGTCTGTGCAGGGGGTGTCGCTCTAGATAACGCCTTAGTCCCTCCCTTTCCAGATCTTTCTCGAATGCGCTTCGCCCGCCGCGGCTGTAACCCGAGCGCTTCCGGAAAGTGCCGAAGTCGCGCCCGGCGCCCGGCAGATTCCCCGCCGGCCGGCTCAGCGCGCGTGCGCAGAGGACGGAAACTGCCGGTTGGTGGCCGGTACTCCGCAGTAGGGGGAGAGGGGGGTGAGGAGCGGTGTCCCAGCACCTCAGACGGGAGGCCCTGCTGCTATACTTGCAGGCCGGCGGGGAGTAGCTAGGTGCAGCCATGTCCGTGGTTGGCTTTGATCTCGGCTTCCTCAACTGCTACATCGGCGTCGCTCGCAGCGGCGGTATCGAGACTATCGCCAATGAGTACAGCGACCGCTGCACCCCGTGAGTATCAGCGCTCCCGGGCCGTCTCCGGACACTTTTCGCCCTCGTTTCCTCAGCGGCAAACCCAGTTGCCCTTTCTACCCGCCTCCCCCAATCCTTTCCCCGGCGTCCTGGGTTCCTGGAGCGGCCGGGCGGAGCCGCGTGTGTCCCCGCAAGGCCTTGTTCTCTTAGCGACTCGCGGGCGCTCCTCGCTTGGTCCTGACGGTGCTGAGCCGGCAGCCGCTCCTGCTTCTGCGGGCGAGGAGAGGGGTTTTGCCGGCCGGCGCCCGGACCTGTCAGTGGCTGAGGCCTGGCGATCGGTCGGGAGCTGTGTGCGGCCCTTCTCGCCGGCCGCCCCGCTCCCGATAACACAGGCAGTGTGTTTAATGGGTGCAGAAACGCGTATGTCGGGGCAGGCGACTGCCCGAAGAGCAGTTCCCCCCCTTCCCGCCCCCCCGCCTCCAGGTTTTGACTCCTGTGTGTCCTTGAAGGACCGCGCTGTGCTGGATGTGCCACACGGCTCTCGGGACACAATGGATTTAATGGAGAGTTGTTTTCTACCCTTGTAATACTTTTCGTCTATTATAGATGTGGATAAGAGCGTGTGTTTCCCCAACTCTAGAGCCGTTGTCAGGGGTTGGAGCGTTTTCATTAACGATTTTATGATGGAGTGATAGTGAGACAGGGTAGGAGGAGGAGGACGACGTTGATTCTGTGGGGAAACGGGGAAGTGGCGCGATGATTTTCCGTAAACCTGTTCTTACTCGCACCGCTCTGCGTTTGTTGGCCATGGAATACCGAGGTCTTGTAAGGAAGGGGGGGGCAGTGGGCAGCGGCCGTGATGATGGGATACGCAGGAGTAGGTGGAGATTCTTTTTTTCTGTTTCTATGGGATACGTCTAGGGATTTTAGAGCTCCATCTGCGTAATTTTCGAGGAGAATTCAGGAATTCGTATAATGCTCATAAAAATGGGGGTTTGGATGGTGCTTTTCTAAAAAGAATTTGTAGACAACAGCAGAAAGCTGCTTCTGCTGTGTGAGGCTATACCACTTTAGCATTGCTTTCTTTTTGATCTTGGAGAAATGTAGGGCTTGATTTGCTTTCTGAAAAGTTCTTTTTTAAAAGAACAAAGTCGAATGCTAAAATGCATGTTTTCTGTATTAGGAATATCTTTAATTACTACTTAAAAAAATATATATCGTCACCTTAATTCACAAGAAGACATTATCTTTGTGCACCCTTTAAGAGCCAAAGTTCTGGGACCTTCCAAATTTCTGTGCAAGGAAGCCCCTGAAATTGTTGCCTCAAGAATCCTGCAGTTTTCTACCCCTGTATGATGAAGAGCACTTCCAATTCTTAGGTACTTTTGGAATGCATTCTTTGCAGGTAGGCTGCACACAGGTTTTTCTGCATTTAGTATTTCTCACAGTAATGCTGGAGCAATTATACTTTCAAAATATTTGCAAACTGGTTATGAAATGGGTTTAAAAGCACGGTTAGCAAGATAGCATCTGGGGTGCACAGATACTTAAAGGCAGTAGTTATCTCCCTTGAAGCGACTTTTTTCCTTCCTTTTTTCTTCTCTTTCTCCAAAATGCAATATAGGAGAACGAGGAGCTTCCTTTTTAATGCTGTTGTCTTGAGGCAAACTAAAGAGGTTAATGGAAATGCTTCATCCCTGGCAGTGTTCAAGGCTAGGTTGGACGAGCCCTTGGGTAATATGGTTTAGGGTGAGGTGTCCCTGCCCATGGCAGGGGAGTTGGAACTTGATGATCTTAAGGTCCTTTCCAACCCTAACTATTCTATGATTCTATGAAATATAGCAGGTTTATTACTGCTATGAAAGTTTATCATAGTAACTAAACCTTACTTCGAACAGGATTTGAATGATGTAGGCAGATCGAACTTACATGCTTACTACACAGTGACACAGTAAATGAACTCTTTATGTGTTCTTATAGAGGCAGTTATGTCATTTAGATATTTAATGTTAGCAAATAGTTAGCATTGATATGTCACAAAACATTTGGGACTTGCTCCCAGAAATACAAAGCATTAAGATTTGTTGTGACTGTGTAGCATGGCATAAAAATACCTGAACTAGCTTCTGACAAGTGAGTACATTTTCATGTGTAGTGTGCTGTTATTAAGCTGTGTAAAGATAGGGCAGGCCTGGCTGTGCTCTGTGAGGCTGATTGCTCTTTCTGGGCAGAACTAATTAGTGGAGCTGGCTTCCTGTTTCTGAGCTGGTTCAGGTACCTGTCAATAGTACAGCATTAGCATAAGCACACTTCAGTGCTACAGACTAAAGCAGTGAAGATTTATATTTTCACAATTTAATATAGCACTTGTAATTCATAAATCCAGCATCCCAGTTGTTAAAATGTTCATCTTGCCTAAAGCCTACATTCTGTAATCTAAGGTATGGGTTAGTTAGCATTCCCTAAAATATGTATAATCTTTAAAAGTTTTAGCACAGGTAATTAAGATTGCCATTAGACCTTCCATTTCAGTAGACCTTGTGCTTTTTGAGGGTTTTGGCCATAGTGTCTCTTTGGATGAGAACTGATGCTTGGCTTTTTCAGAACTGGGAACTCCAGCTAGTCTGTTTCATGTGCTTCTAGAGCACCTGATCTGTTAAACTAGTGGCAGATGGCCCTTTCAGGTACTGTGTCTCACCACTGTGGTTTTGTGAAAAAAAAACAGTTAATCATCAACAGCTCATAATTCTTCAGTAACTTTTTTCAGATAGCTTGTAATTAGTGTAATCACAAACTAAGTAAAATGACGCGGTAGTGCCTTCTCCAAAACAGTGCATGAAGAGTACTGAAATGTCCTTTAGGTGAAGAGCTGCTACTTTTAGAACAGTCTGTGTATTATTCCAAAGCTCACTTTAAAGCAGGCTGAGGGTAGTAGTGGGGGAGACAGGCTAGTTGAGGCATGTGTGTCCTTGTGCTGGATGTGCTCCCTAAAGGACTGCCATAGATATAACTGAAGTCTTAAGAGCCAAAGAGAGCATGTTTTGTATTTTGACCTCTCTGCTTCCCAGCCAAGGGAGAAAGAAACCACCATTCCCTTGCAGTGGAATTCAGTGATTGAAGTAAACCGTGGCAGGAATGTCAGTGGGCTTCTGACTTGGTGTTTCATCCTCTGCATAAGGGTATTTACAAGTGGTGCTGTTTGTCAACAGATTCAAATTCCTCCACTGAAAAGGTGTGATAGAATAGTATTAGCACATTATCCATAAAATAAATTACTTGTAAACCATTTGCTCCTTTCTTAAATTCCTCTGTTATCTGACTTATTAGGAAGCATAATTCATAACTATAGTGTTAAGTGACATTAAAAATTGTAAAACCTGTTTCTGAAAGCTGAACTACATATTTGCAGCAGTTCAGTCTGGAGAAGTTTTTGTGTGTTCAGTGTGGTGTTACGGCAGAAGAGGTTGCTAGATAATACTTTTAAATTACATACAGTGCCTCATGGTAGAGATGATGGAGGGGAGGCAGGAAGCAGTCTACTGTAGTGACCTTTATGCATTTATTAAATAATTAAATTTGAGCCACATTAAATCGGGGTTGTATCTCTTATTTTCTACTGAATGATTTTAGCCAGATCAGTTCCCTTTTGGGGAAGGAGTTGTATTTCATACCTGTGAAGGGAAAGTGTGGACCTGGGATAGCCTTTTCTAGTGCCAGAGGCAAGGCTGAGAGGGATGTTCAGTAGTTCAGCTGTGAAGCTGCAAGGGGCTGTGTACTATGCGGCTTCCCAAGCCTTCTGTTGCTGGGAGCTGTTCCCAGACATGGCCCCTTTTGCCTATTTGCTGTTTGTTCCTGGTAGCCTTCAGTCATGGGAAGCACTCAACAATTTGTAAAACTGAGCTTACATGTTCTTTTCTGTTTTGTTTTTGTTTTCCCTGATTATTGTTGCCAATGGCTTTTACAGTGCGAATGTGGTTGTTGAGTCAAGAAAACTCAACTGGTGCTTCATGAAATAATACTATTAAATACCACATCTATGTTCTGCTACTTTAATTTTTGTAAATGTCTTAAACTACTGTGGAAATATTTTGTTTTCTCTTAATGCCGAATTTCTTTTCCTTGTTTTTACTTAGAGCATGTATATCTTTAGGATCCAAGACCCGGGCCATTGGGAATGCAGCAAAGAGCCAGGTAAATGGATCAAAATCTCGTGTTGCTTACTGACTTAGTTGCTGTTGAACCATGGGAAAAGAATGGATGAATTTGATGTTTTCTCATTGAAAGTGAATGTCTAAAAGTGTACATTTTACAGTAATAGTTACTGCTTCAGCAGTATGTTCCTGGCATTAAAATCGAAACCGTGTTCTGTATTGTTTTGTCAGAGCAAAAAATGGGAAGAAATAAAAAGCTCTGTTAAAAGATTTTTTTTTTTGTCTTGCATACTTTTGGCAGTGAGAGTAGAGTTCATAATTAGTTCCCTACTGGGGAGAGGAGTTCCTGTGCTTATGTTTTAGGAAAGTTGAAACTAAAGATGAAAATGGCAGTTAAGCAGCAACCTGTATCTGCACTAATGTGAAGGGGGTGAATTATACTACCTTCCTGTCTCAATTTGGGACCTTGAACAGAACTAAAATTTCTCTGATCTTCTGTAAATTCACTTGCAACCTGGGAAAACCTTCCTCTGGAAGGAAAATACGTAAAAAATTCATAATAGCCATTGTAAACCTACACACTGAAAATAAATTGGGTCTTGCCCTCTTTCTGTGCATCATGTTTGCACCCTGAGGACTTCTTCCCCTTAGTGTAGCGTGTAGGCAACTGTAAATTTGCCTGGAGGATATCAAAGTAACAGAACCTTGCTGTTGGTACCATGAGCAGTCAGTACACAACTAGTGTATCACTTTCATTCAGAGAAACTTTACACTCTTTATCTGAGCTGAAGCCCTGTACTCTGGTGGTGGGAAGGTGTCCTGTCAGTACTCTTCCCAGTTTGTTATTTATACTAGTAAACTAGGTTATCTTGGAGAAGCTTATCCTGGAATAATTGCCTTTGAGTGCTTAAATGCTGTGCTTACTGGGATTTGTTCTTGTCCCTTCTTTCCTTAAAAGTCTGTGCTTAAAGTAATGAGGGTGAAACACTGAGATGTGAGGAGGCTTTATGTCCAGATGGGGTCTGAATTAGAGGAGAACTTTAAAAGAAACTAAATACCTTAATTTGTTGAAGCTTTGTTTAAGGTTGATGTAGGTAATAGCCTCATTTGTTCTTGCATACAGCCACTGCAACAGTATGTAATGTGGGCTCAGATATTGCATCAGAAAACTCCTCTAAAATAAAAAGTAGTGAAAACTGATGGCAGCAAGCTAATGGATATTAAAGAGGGAAGTAAATTTGATATTTCTTTTTTTTTTAAATGGAGACCATAAATTAAAAAAAGATGCTGCTTTTCCTCCCCTGACTTTCTATTCCAGTAAGTATGTGGGGCTTGACATGGGTGCAGTAAGCCCAACATAACAAGAGTTCCTTTCTGTCTGGTGTTCTATACGTGTCTGGTTATGTCATCCTTTCCACAGATTGTCACAAATGTAAAAAACACATTGCATGGCTTCAAAAAACTGCATGGAAGAGCATTTGAAGATCCTTACATAGAAGCTGAAAGGGCCAGGCTTCCCTATGAGCTTCAGAAGATGCCAAATGGCTCCGTAGGAGTAAAGGTGGGTTTGTGCAGAATATCTTCAGTGGTAGAGATGAGCACTTTTGACCTTTGTCACTTAACTTCGTATTTGAACTGACTTCCATTTCCTTAAGAAAACTCTAAATATATTCTTACTCATTTTGAAAAGAAATGCCAGGTGATAACCAGTACAGTAACACCTTTTATTTTCCACAGAGCTTGCCTTAGCATGGTGTTATTGTGCTTCTCACTTCTTGCAACTTAATTCACTTCTTTAAACGTTCGGGAAGAGCTAGAGTACTTACTCTGTATTACATACTTGTTTTTCCTAGTAATCAAGTAGTGTGAAAAAATTGCATTGTTTCCCATGTAGGTATACTGTAAAATGTTAATATCTCTCACCCCAAAAAAGGTAAAGTTTGTTTCATTTATCTTCAGGAAAATTGACTGAGTAATAAATCTGCTGTTACTAAGAGATTAAGAGCATCTTACTCTCTGAAGTAACATGTGCTCAAGTACTGTACTTTCTCAGAGATGGCCATTGAGGTTTCTCCTTAATTCTGTTAGCTTTCTGTAGTCACACATGTAGCTTTTCACTTTAACTTACTAGATTGACCTTAAGTTATGTCCACAGTGTATGGTTCTTGGTCTCATCTGAGTTTAGGTCTTGGGGACATGCAGAGACCAAGTTCAGAAGAACAGGATGTAATCTGAATAAGTTACTTCTCATTTTCTTCCAAACTAAGTAGCTGGAAACTGCTCTTCTCAAAGTTCAGGCTTTCTGGCTTCAGTTTCTGAATGTGTCTATCTTTTGCAATTTTAATTTGGACCAGGAGTGCACTGCTGCAGCATATCTCCCAATCATTTCTCACTTAGTGCACTTCAAAGCCCTAGGAGAAAGCAGTTCACCACACAAGTGAGTTTTTGTTCTGTATACCTGCTCATATCGTACTAACTGCAGTGTAAATATAGCTGCTGCTCATCTTTATGGGTTTCCCTTCACAGGAGTGCTTGGGATTGCTGGAGAGATGGTGGCCTGTCAGGGAAAGAGTTGTTCCTGTTCAATTGAGATGTTTTATTACATAATTGCAATTCTCTGTTTCAGGTGCGATACCTAGATGAAGAGAGACTGTTTGCAATTGAACAGATTACAGGGATGTTATTGGCCAAACTTAAAGAGACTTCAGAAAGTGCTTTGAAGAAACCTGTTGCAGACTGTGTGATTTCAGTAAGTTGGAATATATATATGTATTGCAATTCTTATAGAGACATTCATGTAAGCCAGTATTAGTTGCACCATGGTGTGCTGGTGAGAGACACCTGTAGTGGGTAGAAACTGCATCCCCCTGAAAATGGGACTTTATTAAAATGAGAATACTTTTGTAATCACATGTGAAAAGATGGAGCATCTGTTAAATCAGGAAGGTGTTTTCAGAAAGAACATGCTACCTAAGCTGATCCAGAGTGGCTAACTCCAAGTGCTATATAAACTAATCCCAATTTCTGCAGTTCCTGTTATAAATGGGAGCTGTAAGCGTAGTTTCCACAGTTCCAAAGAGCCTCCCAAATTTGTGTTAATCTCTGTTGTTACGTGGTTGAATACTGTTCAGTTGTAGTGTATATGAGAATTGCCTGAACTCTTTTCTCTGAGGGTTATATTGGCAATCTGAAAAGCCCAGAGTACCTGTGTGTGTTTAAAAAGGGCTTTTTATTTTGGTGCTTTACTTATGTTGGTTTTGTTTTGTTACTGTCCTTACCCATGGTGGGGGAGTAGGGAAGGGGAGATTGAAGATGAGGTTTTGTTCCTGATCTAAAATTCTAAATGCCTGCTTTTCAATTGTCTCTTTACTGTTCACTTCTGCTCTTTCTCTGGTGAGAAGTCTGGGCATGAAATACTGTGGTTATTTCTTCTGTCAGACAGACACGGAAATTGGAAAGCTGTGTACTTTAGCTGTTAGAAATCTGGTTTGATCTTTTTCCTTGCTGCCTTATGGTATATAAACACACAGGAATACCTCCCACACACAGGGATGATCCTGGGTAATGCACCACAATGGCAGCTAACGAAATACACTATGATGTACTTCTATGTCTTAAGCTTACCTGGAGTTGAAGATATGCCAGCTGATCACAGCCAGTTTCTGAATGAGCTCTGATTGTGCCTTGACTATTTTTGGTGGAGCTGAATAATGTACACTGTAAGCTGGCAGTGTGGTAGATGATAACTGAAAATGGGATACAGGTTCAGTTGGAACACAGATTTTCCCACTGGAAACAGCAATAAGTTTAGCTCCAGCACCACTGTAGTACTTCTGCAGCAACTTACTGTTAGGCTCCGTTTGAGTATGTATTGTGTTGAAAACATTTGTGTAGCACAGTCAGAAGTTGGTAATGATTTTTAAGAGCTAATACTCATCAGAAGAACCTGAGAAAACATTTTCAGGATTTCTTTTTCAGTGCTTACATCTGATTTGTTTAAGGAAAAAAAAAACCAAAAAACCTCACCTCTCAATTTCATTTTGGTTGTGTTGTGTATTTAATTGAAATACGCACTAAAGTAAATTACCTGGCTGTTATGTTCAGACTGCCTATTAATCTGAGGTTAGTTTAGAACAGTTTTTTGTGGTATTGAAATTTATAGGGTTGCTTAATGGGTAAGTCTGACTTCTTTAAATTAGAAAGTCCGTATTTCACAATATCCTATGTAATTATTTTATGGAAACAGGTACCCAGTTTCTTTACTGATGCTGAGAGAAGGTCTGTAATGGCAGCAGCACAGATTGCAGGATTAAATTGTCTGAAGTTGATGAATGAAACTACTGCAGGTAAAGGACTGCATTTATTTTATTTACCCATTCAGGCTGGTGAATCTGTGAGGGTGATGTCATATTCATGTTACACAATTTGGAGCCTGGGAAAAAGCTATCCAGGCTAGTACTGCCCGATCCAGCTTGGGAACTGGAAACTCAGCAGCTGTTTTGATGGGGTGGTGTTCAGCACTTAGGAGACAATAAGAGTTTGAGTTTGCTAACTTGAATACAGTACCATTTGAAAATAGCTACTCTGCTTCTGAAATAGAGCTGGTATCTGTGCCTACCTCTGCTGTCCCGTGGAGCTGCAGCAGCAATATTGGGAAGGCCTGAGCTAACTTAAAAATCTCCTCATAATCCAGCTGCAGTGTGCACCTGGCCTAAATTCTCACTGCTTGTATTAAATAGTAGTATAGGACAGTATTATCAGATGTAACCTGCCTCTGACAGATTACAGTGAATATTTAACATAGGGTTTGGGGAGGATTTTTAGGTTTTTTTTTTGAGCTTACTGGAAGATGGCTGTGTTGGAGTAAAACAAAAATCATGGAACTATTAGATTTTTTTAATCATAAGCTAATATTTATTTGAAGTGAAATACATTGAAGGGAAATTGAAAAATGTGTAATTTTCATTTTGAAATACATAATCTGTATGCTGTAAAAGCTGCTCCTGTATAGACTGTGTTTTTATGGAGCTTTTTCTGAAAGCAGGCTTGCTGATCATATTTGGAAATGACTTGAACTGTGAGGCTTTCCAAAATACCCAAATTAAGTCTGCAGGATAGTGGCAGCTTAAATGTGTGGAAATCCTTTCAGCTCTAGCATTGTCACAGCTGTTGTTTCTATAAAGCAATTTGTTTAGTGCCCTCCTCTGGTTTTGGTCAGTTCCAGGATAGAGTATAGAATTATGTTATGCTTCATGGGTACTAAAGTTGGAGCTGTTAAAACTGTACCTGATTTACATCTTTGCTTTTGGCAATTGTCAACCAACTTTTCAAGAGAGCATGCTTTTGAGCGTACTTGAATTTTTCAAATCTGAGCTAAAAAGGACTGACAATAAGGTGTTTCAAAGGAAGGGTGTAGGCATGAGGCTAATCTGTGTGATTTCATAGATGACAATGTGAATTTGGCTACAAGCCAAACTGAAGTGCCAGGTGATGCTGGAGCAGTGTTAACATGACATGTTTCCTCCCTTTGTCAGTGCAAAATATTTTCAACATATTAACTGGCTTTGTGATAAGCTGCTTTGTATGTGAACAATCTTTCTTAAGCAGAAGGAAAAGTAACAAATTTGCTAACTTCGTGTAGAAATTTAAGCTTATGATAGCACATACACTGCTGACTTCAGTTAGTGCTTTGAGGTGTGCAGCATGTGATTGTTATTGGAAAGATGTTAGATTATACAAAATACTTGAATGTCAGTTAAATGAATCAAGATGAGGTAATTTACAAGTAAAGCTATAAATCAATCAGAAATAAAAATTAAGAAGGTGGCAATTCATAATGATCTAAAACTTGATCCTTATGTTGTGTTTAAGCAAGTAATGGAGGTGTTGAGAATGAGTAAATTTAAGTAGTGTTTGTCTTCTTTAGTGCTTTTAGTGCATGCTTTACAGATGTGCACAGCTGTCCTCTAACTTTTGTGGCCTGGTGTTTTTCAGTTGCACTAGCATATGGAATATACAAGCAGGATCTGCCAGCTTTGGAAGAGAAGCCAAGAAATGTGGTCTTTGTAGATATGGGGCACTCTGCATATCAGGTTTCAATCTGTGCTTTTAACAAGGGAAAACTGAAGGTAATATTTTTAAGTCGTACAGTCAAATCCCATATTCCTGAAGTATTTAATTGGACAGTACTCAAAATAGTGTTCTGTGGAAGTTGTTTTGTTTGTGGTTTTTTTCTGTTTGTTCAGGTTTTTTTAACTGAATAAATGTATGTAGCAAATGCTGAATAAAAAAATTTTTGTTATCTTTTGCCTATTCAAGCAAACCCATTCTTAGAAAATGCAGTAATGAAGTATCCTGGGGTGTATTTTGAAAAGCACTTGACAATTAAGCATACTCAACAGTTGTTGTGCCAAGCTGTATCACTGAAATATTTGCATATTCTGGTAGTCTCATGAGCATTGTCGTGCAACTAACTTACAGGATATTGTTGAACTCCCTGAATTGTTCTGTGATAATTTTTTTTTTCCTGCCATCTGTGAGAGTTCCAAATCTAAATTCAGTAGGACATGAAGTAAAATGGAACCATCTTCACTCCCTGGTTTGGAGTCTGTGAGCTACTGATAGCTGAATGTTCTTGTAAACTTGTCTTTGGTAGCAGAATGTTGTTTGAAGTCATGTAGATGATAGCAAGTTTTTCTGCTTTGAGTAAACGACACAGAACTAGTAATGGCATGACAAAATAGCTATTGTAGTCTGACTTTCTGTAGTCGGCTAGTATACTGGGTAGGGGCTGCAGCATCATAGAAAATAACGGTAGATGTTATAGTATTTTATCGGGGGGGGGTAGAAACTCAATAATCAAGGAGCTGTTCTACCTGGCAATTGCATAGAAGATGGTGAGAAAAACACAAAAGAATTTTTCTCTGACCTGTTTTTAAAGGTGTGACCTTCTGAAACCAGTGTCTGGAAAGCTGTCTCTAACCAAATGTTGCCTAATTAATATATGTTCTTTATCATCATTGCAGGTCTTGGCTACTACCTTTGACCCTTTTGTAGGTGGTAGGAATTTTGATGAGGCTTTGGTAGACTACTTCTCTGAGGAATTTAGGACAAAATACAAGCTGAATGTAAAAGAGAATCCCCGAGCGCTGCTACGATTGTATCAAGAATGTGAAAAACTCAAGAAGCTTATGAGTGCAAATGCTTCTGACCTTCCGCTCAATATTGAATGCTTCATGAATGACCTTGATGTCTCCAGTAAGATGAACAGGTACTGTGTGTTACATTTGCTGAAGTGTGCAGTGAGCCATGGCCTCTAAGCTGTCTTGTAATGCAGAGCACTTTCCTTGTTCCTGCAGAGCTCAGTTTGAGCAGTTGTGTGCTGCCCTTCTGTCCAGAGTGGAGCCTCCCCTAAGAGCAGCCATGGAGCAAGCTAGTAAGTAGGAGCTAATTTAGGTACTGCTTTTGGTTCAAGAACATAACTAGTAATCCAGTTATCCTAGATCTCTTTAATGATTATCTTTTTAATGTATTTTTGTATTTATTAGAATTGCAAAGCTAAGTACTGAAAAGTTGAATGTAAGTTCCATTTGTATGCTTGTCATGTATGCATGATCCCATTCCTGCCTCATTTAGTGCACATACCACTCTGCAGCCTTGGTTTATTGACCCTCATTCACCCTATGCAATGGAAAAGGTTGGCACTCTGAAAGGTTATTTTAGTTAAAAAAACAAAACAACCAATTCAAAACCATGATGGGCAAAAGTATTACTCTTTACTGCGGATCACTGGCCAGCCTGTTCCATATGTGATCCATACATGTCCTCACTGACCTGAGAATTTGGCAGCATATTCTTGAAATAAATTATCTGAAGCATGTGCAAATAACATTTTATTTTTTAATATTTTTTTGCCTAATATAGTGTAAAGGAGAATTAGACTTCTGGAGGAAAAGGGTTTACACGTAATTTCAGCATCTTCAACTAGAAGGGAAGAATTCTGCTTATCTTATGTTGCTTGTCTAGATAGCTAATACAGGAAGAAAGAACCTGAATAACTCCTGAACAGAGCTGGTTCAAGGACTGGCAGTTGCTTGTGATTATTTCATATGCATACCTTGAATTTGAAATTAAAAAGCTACCCTGCAAGCACAGTCTAATGTTTATTAAATACTTTTAGTTATGGGTTTTGCTTTTCTTCATTGGCAACTGAAATAAAACCAGACATAAAGTAAGGCATACTTGCGTTTAGTTTTGTTGTTAATGTTTGGGAGGGGTGAGATACTGTCCAGTAGTGCAGGGTTGCTAACAAAAAAACAAACAGAAACGAATTTTACTCTCCTGAGTTCATGCAAACCAGGAAGAGGATGCATTTTAAAGACAATGCATTTTAAAGAAGAGCTGTCCTCGTTAATGCTTGGCTTCTGCATTATCCAGGTTTATGTAACTAGAAAACTTTGTAGTCTGCGGGAGGGAAAAAAAGGTTGAATAGGACACATCATGAGAAACCTAGTTTAAATGCCTTGTTGGCCACTGAATATATTCAGTACTTGTCACAGTGTCAAGATAATAAGAGAACTCTTACCCTTTTTTTGGTTGTCCAGAGACAGCTTTTTGATGTCTTGATGATAACTTAAGGCCATGCACTTTGTTTTCTAGAACTTCAACGTGAAGATATCTACAGTATAGAAATAGTAGGTGGGGCTACTAGGATTCCAGCAGTGAAGGAGCAGATCTCTAGCTTTTTCTGTAAAGAGATAAGCACCACGCTAAATGCTGATGAAGCTGTTGCAAGAGGCTGTGCCTTGCAGGTATAGTTACTGCAATACAACTTGAGTATTGCTTCTTTAACATCATGAACTAATGAGTACAACTAACCAGAAGCTGAAATAAGATGTAGAATCTTGCTTGTTCTTTCAGCAGTTGATGACAGTGGCCATGTCATAAATGGGTGTTACATTCTAATAATAATAATATAAGTTATATGTGCATAATTTGTTTCGTGTTAGGAGGATGGTCTTGTTAGAGAGCTGTTAAATTTGATGACCCAAACTGCCGTGTTCCACTTCTGTGTAGCCACTGCTGTGTATCTTTACTGACACTATTATTTTAGTTACATCAATCAGTTTAGTTAACTTTCTGCTAAGCATAAGAAACTACTATTAAAAATTGTGATAAGCAGGACCTCCATGTGACCTCTTTTAATTGTAACCTTTTTGCACTTGGGTATTAGTAGTTACTGTACCTGCTACTTATTTGACTACATGGATATAATAAAATTCTGGTCTTTGTTTTCTAGTGTGCAATTCTTTCCCCAGCTTTTAAAGTGCGTGAATTTTCCATCACGGATGTTGTTCCTTACTCTATAACGTTGAGATGGAAATCATCGTATGAAGAAGGAACAGGGTAAGTTATATGGTGCCTACTAGAAAGTATGTCTGTGTATAGAAAGAAATCTGTTGAGCTATGGAAAAGACAAGGCTTTGGCCTTTGAAGCTGTCATCCACTCAAACAGTTTTAATTTTCTTTTGTTTCCTGCATTACAACTTTTGAGTTGTAGTTAATAATTTGAAAGATATTTAATAATTGCTTATTATTAATAATTGCTTCATAATTGGAAATACATTTAATTACATTTATATTATACATTTAATTAAAAAACGGTGTAGAGTTGCTTAATCTTTAAGTATGACACAGAATGCTTAGTCCAGCTTTTGGACAAGCCTTCAGCCTGCTACTCTTATCAACTGACTTAAACTAAACTATGTATCTGCTTGGCTAGCGTGACTGCTGATCATTAACATCCCTTGATTTGATTAACCAGCTTTATGCTCAGTGGTTTAACCTTAATTAATATTTTAATGCTTTAGGGAGTGTGAAGTCTTCAGTAAGAACCATGCTGCTCCGTTCTCGAAAGTCATTACTTTTCACAAGAAAGAACCTTTTGACCTGGAAGCTTACTACACCCATCCACATGAAGTGCCTTATCCTGATTCCAGAATAGGTAAGGACGTCTGAATAAAACCCTTACACAGAACTACTGTTGATAATAATGAAAGTCGTTCTCCTTTTTAAGATCTATTACACTTCTGTATTTCCTAGGTTATAGAAAAGCCTAGGTTCTTTAGAAAGGCTCAACTTTGCTGCTTTGGTTTAGATGCATTGATCAAAGGGTATTGACATTTTTGTTAGGTAGTTCCTTAAAAAAAATAATTAATTCTGTCACTGTTTGAATGCTTTAAAAATCATAGGATGGCTTGGGCTGGAAGGGACCTTAGGGATACTCTAGTTCCAAAAATGTAGGTACGAAGAATGTAGTGCTCTATTGCCTGCTTTTCGGGTGCCTTTGTTTTCTTGTTTTGTTTTTTTTTTTCCCAACCTCTGTAAAATGGATAAGGTGGCTGTATGCCTTCCAACCTGGATTTATCAAAGAAATTAGATCAGAGGAGAATAGGTCTGTTAGACTAGATAGTTACCTGTTCAGACAGGTATCTGACATGTCTCATGCCGTTAATCTGAACGTACAAGATGAATTTAATAAGCATCTGTAGTAGAGTCTATAAAGTGTTAGATGGTATGAGTAAGTTTCCTGGTAGCTAATACTATCTTACTTGCAGTTATTAACATATTCCTAAGGGTCTTTAATACACTATTTTATTTACTGATTTATGAATTGGATAGAAACTTCATGCTACCTATTTAGCTGTCTATGCAATAAGTCTGTTTTTAGGAAAAACCATTCTCCTTTATGTGTATGCTGTCTGCGTTGTTTACGCTCATATTTTCAGGAAGTTGCAAGATGAAGTATCAGTCTTGCTGCTCCCAGAAGCCTTGATAAGCACTGTTCATGCTCCAAAATGTGTAGTGCATCAGTGTTAAGGAAATTCAAGTACAGTCTTTTATCTCTGTTAACATTTTTCTTTTTTCAGTGCAAAATTTGTTATGTGGACAAAGGACCTATTCAGGATGGAGTAGGCTCCTTAGAGCAATGGTTAGAGAAGAACAGAGAAGTAGAATACCTATTAAAGTGATAGCTTGGTTTTAAATATTTTTTTATGAAATACAGATAAAGCAAAACTGTCTTCACTAAGCAGGTTCTAGTTTATGTAGCTGCAGTTTATGTTGTAAAATTGATAACTAAGTAGGAAGTTTCCAAATAGTTTAAAGTTACATGAAGTTACTATGTAAATTAAAACCCTTAAAGAGTTATATTTTATTTCCTTTTTTTTTTTGTCTTTCACTATTTTTTGGAACAAAAATTAAATCCATCTTTGTTTTTTTGTTGTTGTGTTGTTTTTTTTCGCAAGGGCGTTTCACTGTTCAAAATGTGGGTCCCCAACATGATGGTGACAATTCCAAAGTGAAAGTTAAAGTGCGTGTCAATATTCATGGCCTTTTCAGTGTGGCTAATGCTTCTATAATAGAGAGGCAGAACATAGAGGGAGATCACAATGACACTCCTATGGACACTGAATCATCAAGTAAGAACCAAGGCAGAGATGAGGAGCTGGTATGTAAACTTGCAACTATCTACAGTCCTTGTAATTCTGACAAGAGCCAATAATAAGAGACTAAATCATAGTGTAAAGCTTTAGACAGTTACTGCTTCTCCATCCTTGTATTACTGTTTCAGTTATGTAACACATTTCTTCACATTTATTATTAAGCTACTGGTGACATGCAGCAGTAAAAGCAAAAAAGAATGTTAAACCGGATTCTAAAAAAAAACCAACCAGTTTTTTCAGTGTTCTTTACCACCTCTGTAGTAGTCTTAGTGTTATTTAGTGTTGCCATAAAATGGCAGGTTTGTTTTTCCTCAAGTACTACATTTTCATTTGGTAAAAATGTGGTATTTCTTTATATGTGTAAAACTTGTTCTTGGTAAACATTCATTCACTAAAAGCACTTCTGCCAGTACTGAAGTACATTAAGTTCTCACAAACTGATTTGGTAGCTTATAGGGGAAAATCACTGGAAATAACTGTGCAGCACCTTTGTCATTAATACTGAGAAATTGGCAAGGTAAACTTTTCTTCATTCTAGTGTTAGGAGGATCAACTTTCTTTATAGTGCATTGCATGCTGAGAGTAATGAGGTGCAGCTATTACATTTGACACTGTAGAGTTGAGGGCTGGGTGTCAGGGAAAACGTTGCAGCGTGCCATGGCCTCAGCAGCCTTTTCTTTTTCCCTTGTGCCCCTCCTACAGCTTGGGATTCTGGTTATGTCACAGCTCACAGGGGAGATAGATGACAGTGTAGAGAAAAAGAGGATAAAGCAGTGGGCAAAGCTGCTGCCTCCATTCCTGCTGTCCTGGAGACTGCCAAGTGCTCAGCAGAGTGACCAGTCTCATAGGCTGTCGGGCATATACTGAGGGTGGGTGCCCTTGAGGAGTAAGGTTGGACAGAAAGCAAACATTGGGCAGCCTTATTTGGAGGAAGGGGTGAATGCATTTCTTCAGTTATCTTTTAAAATGTCCTTAGCAGCTTTTCCCACTTCAGGTGCATATACTACAGGAGTTGGAGCAAGTGGTTACACAATTAGCGTTACATAATTGATGTAAGCAACTCCTGAAATACTATACTGCTTTCCAGGAAGTTCAGCATATTTATAATGCCAAACATGGTGCAGTTCCTTGTGGACAAATTCTCTGCCTCTGATACTTGTATGGAAGTGAATAACAGTTCAGAATGACAGCTGGCATGTAATGCAATAGGTGTCCTGCATGTGGGCATTACTAGGATGAGTAAAGTGTGCTCAGTACAAGAGTAACCGCTTCCATCTTCAGGCTTTCAGTCTGTAGTACTTCCATTCAACTAACACATCTTCTGTTCTACAACAATGCTTGTCAGCAATTACCTTTCATTACTGAGGATGATACCCTCGACTCTGAGGAGGAGGTTTGTGGTGTATATGTGTATTATTCCCCCTCCCCCCTCCCGCTTTAGCCTTTCTGTGTAGGCAGAATAGTTCCTTCCAGTTGTTGCCTCTTCTGTGTGAACAGTAAGAACAGTTTGTGAGGATATTTATATATTTTTTTCCTCCTACTCTGAAGTGACATGTGTCTGGTAAAATCAGTTTTCTTGATTTCAACTTTTATGATTAAAAGATTGCTGAATCAGTTAATATAGCTAAAAATTAACACAGGCACCTGTGCTTGAGTTTGAAATCCTTAATAACTACTTCTTGTGTCTTGCAGAACTAACTGCAAGATATTTTGCATGCATACGTGTTTTGTGAATCCAGTAATTCCTTGTAATGGAAGTAATCTTAGACCTTTGAGACCTTGGCTACAGCTCTATAGTCATTGATGCTCTGGATGTCCCAAGTATTGGAGTCATCCTGAAAACTTTACAGTTCTATTTGACGGTTACTAAAAGTGTTTTGCAATGATGGCGAGGCATTGTATTACTTAAACTAAGCCAAGTGCTCAGCACAGTAATTGGCGATAATCTCTAAGATCCTTAAATTTAGACTGAAGCATAGGTGAATTACAGATAAGTTTAAGGGAAACTTAGTTAATTTTGAGTGGCAGGGAGGGAAGACAGTTGGTCTTGTGCTCCAAGAGGCTACTATAGAAACTAATTTTTATGGTCCCATGAGACAGATGCAGCTAACAGTTACTAAATTCTGCTTTGGTTTACAAACTTTAAAGTTTAGATTGAAAATGGTATGAGGTGAAAGTTCTGGCTGTTCCATAGATAACCTATTGCTATTGCCTGTGGTGGTGGTATGTTTCTAGAATGTTCTTTGCATACCTTTTTATTTATTTCTAGTTTAAAGTGGAGTATTCACAAGGCTTAATGTAGCTTTATAACATGGACACATGGCAACTTAATTATTTCAAGGTGGACAGGCAGAACAGAACTTTCATGTAATTCAGGGGAAAGTTATGAATGCAAGTACTCAATCAAAATGCCTGTTCAAACAGTGATTCAGAAAGTCTTAAGATTGCCTTGTAAATCCATATATTGTCTGTGATCTACTGTATGTGACATCAGTCTTAAATCTTACAGCAAACCTTTGCATTCAGTTATGTAACTCTTTTTCTAGGATAAAATGCAGGTTGATCAAGAGGAAGGTGTTCAGAAAAGCCAAGCTGAACAGCAGAACCAAGCAGATGAGGAAACTGAAAATGCAGGAACAGAAGCAAAAGTTTGTATTCAGTATTGATAAGGAGATGTAACGCGGCTTCCCTTAGACTTGTTATGCCCACTGTGGTTGTTAATCTTACTAGGTACAAAAGATGGGACTGTATTGAGAGGAGTACAGCTATACTGAAATGGCTAAGTTAAAAATCCTATCTTAGAGCTTTTGTTTTCAACACAGTATGTGACTAAGGTTTTGAAGTAAGCTTATTTAATATAGTTTTATAATGGAGATGAATATGGGAAGATGTTACCAAGGAGAATATGCAGTGTCTTTAGCTGTTGAACAAATTTTCTCAACAGCTCTTTATATGATGTTTAAAGAAATTAAATTCCCCTGATTTGATTAAAAACCAAGATAGTGGTAATTATGAATAGCAGAGGAATAATTAGGCACTTTATTTACATATGATCGATCTGTAGCTGGCTCACTATTGTCTTTTTTTTTTGAGCACAAATGTGGTCATATTTCTATTCTTAAGTTTCTTAATAGTGTAAATGTTTCTACAGGTTGTTCCTGGAGACATGCACGAACATCCAGCCCAGCCAAAGGCTAAAACAAAAGTCAAGAGTATTGACCTCCCTATACAGGCGAGCCTCTATAGACAGCTGGGACAAGATCTTATCAATTGCTACATTGAAAATGAGGTAAGTAGCATAAACAGATGAGTACTCAAATGAGTGTCCCTGGAAATAATAATACAGAAGTATATGATGCCATAAACTTTTTGTCTAATTTAGAATTCTTTGGAGTTTGTTTGGGGGGGGGTTCTGATTTTTTTTAGTTTGTTGGTTTGGGGGTTTTTTTGGTTGTTTCTTGGTTTGTTTTGGTTTGTTTTTTTTTTTTTTAGTTTGGTTGGTTGGGGTTTTTTTCTTATATTTGGGGGGGGGGTTTATTTATTTTTTTGTGAAACTCGCCTATTTCACTAGACTGAACTGCCCAGGTGCCCTAGTTTGACCTATTAGCTTGTCATTACCCAAAGTGTCAATTCTGTCCCCAGGCAGGCAGCCTCTGAAGGCTGCACAGTATGTTATAAGAATGCTAATTGTTGCTCACTGACCTGATACTGGTCAGGAGTAGCACTTACACCTTGTGGTGCTCTGCAGAAGCTGTGTGCTTCACTAGATCATACTTTTGCCCATGAAGTCCTGTATCAGTAGGGAAGTCTTACGCAGAAAACTTGCCTTTTGGAAGGTCCTTTCTGAACTGTGTAGATATTATGGTTGTGAAGATCCCACAAGCATAAGCTCTTCTCTGAAAGATGGTCAGTCTGAAGAATAAAGTCTTAAATAATTTTTGTAGGGCAGAATGATTCCTAGCAACTGCCAAACCACAGTCAAGACTTGTACTTTATTTCGAGTCCTGTCTGTAGTGGTCAGATCATAATTAATACCTGATCAGTTTGTTGAAGCACTTGCCAAACAGCTTCCAAATATGAGCTCATTTTTTAACCCCGTTCCAGTTCTGCCTGCAGTAAGTATGACCTACACAAAAGTGAAAGTTATAATCAGTAACTGTGAAGTAGCAGGCTGCTTCTGCAAAATTCTGTGGTGTAGTGTCAAGAGAGTAATCATTAAGCTTGATATTTGAAATGCTTTTAATTCTTATGTAAGCTTTTTTTTTTTTGCCCTAGGGGAAGATGATGATGCAAGACAAGCTTGAGAAAGAAAGAAATGATGCTAAGAATGCTGTTGAAGAGTATGTGTATGACTTCAGAGACAAGCTGTGTGGAGTCTTTGAGAAATTCATCACTGAAGAAGTAAGACTTGCCTGTGTTTCAACTGCTGTAAAAAAAAATGCCTTTATACTTGTAAGTTCTCAGCATGGCTTATGAGGCTGCGGGGATCTCTTAAATGTATTTGGAATATGAAATTGATTAACTTCACAGAAGTTAAGTTCAAACAGTGCTTGCGCCTGACACTTGACATGCTGACATGCAGAGTTCTTCATTGAGAAGTTTTTCACTGGCAAGGAAAGATTGGAATGCAGGTGGAAAATAAAAGCCCTGTGGCGGGGTAGGAAAGCAAGACAGATCACTATGAGCTTCTAAATGGTGTAAGTGGACAGGATTAAAAAAAACAGAAATGGAGTGTCTGTAGCTCTGTGGTTTGTCTACTTTCAAGCATGGTAAGTTACTGAAATTTCAGGTAAAAGTAATGAAGAAAACTGTACGCTAGGCCTCTGCAAAAGCAGCATTGAAAGAACATACGTCCTACAGTTGTGCCTCTGTAACAGCCATCTAAATGAAAGTGGCTGGTACACAAGCCACCAGCTGAAACAACTAATGTCCAGCAGCAGTTTTAAGGTCTGCTCTCTGGATTACCTGTTCAGCAGCACAGCACAGATTCTCTTCCAGTCTAAACTCAAGGCTGTGAAGCTGTCTTTCCCATACCACTTTCAAAACAATCTCTTGGGTAAGTTATGGGGATAGGTAAGATCCTTTATTTCTAAACAATTAAAAGATAACATCTTTGTTTATAGCCAGTGGAGTCCAATTAAAACAATTTTGCCTTCAACTATGTATATAGTTTCTAAATTTGTTCAGTCATCTTCATCCTGTGATCAGAGAACCTGAGAAGCAGTACTTCCCATGTAAGGAGAGTGAGCAAGAATGTTGATGTCCTTTCTTCTAAAATCAGTCCTGAAACTGTGTAACTCCCATGAACTCCAGCTGCAAATCAGATCAGTAAGGGTTCTCCTATCATACTGTAAAATCTTGGCATTGAAGTAGGTTAATTACTGTTTTCTTTCACTGTCACTTTGAATACTCTGAAGTGATGAAACAGTCTTTTTTGAGCAGGGACTTTCTTTGTGTGCTGAGAGAGTATGGCTTATTTGTCATGATTTCCTCTGACGTAGCATATCCCTAACTTGCTTCACAGGATGCGAACAAGCTGACCTTGATGTTGGAGGATACAGAAAACTGGCTTTATGAAGATGGAGAAGACCAGCCTAAACAAGTATACATGGATAAGCTTCAGGAATTAAGAGTAAGATTTTAAGTTACTTTCTAGAAAAATGTGTGTCTATTTAGGGGTGGGGACATTTACATAAACATATGGCTACGTAACCAAAGCTCTTTTAATGATTGATGTGTGTGTGCACACCATGCATGAGTTTTGTAAATCCCTTAACTTTTAAGTATGGACATTCAGGTTTTATCTGAATGTAGCTGAGTTATGAAATAAACAGAATATTTGGAACTAGATTTTAGCTTTAACATCAGGTGTGCTCCAAATTTGAAAACAGTCAAAATGAAGCAGACTGACTGTCACTAGTCACAATGAAATAATTGCTATTGTAATTCTCTGTCAGTCTTGTTACAATCTGAAGAGGCTTTGGAGTAGTTTCAGTCCTCTCCCAGGTATCTAGAATTGTGCTCCAGAATACATGCTCTGGTTTTCCTGTTCTTAGTGGGTTTTTTTAAACCTGTGTCATAAAACTAAATTTTTGGTCTAATATCTAATGATGAAGTTTGAAGAGTCAGATTTAATTTGGGGGAGGGCTAACTGATGGAAACAGCAGTATATGTCCTGACACCTGCTGCCTTGCCTGGGTTGCCAGTATTAAGGGAAGGGTTAAAAAGAAGTGGAGAAAACAAGAACATTCCATGATAACTACTTGAAAATTAAACCATCCATGTAAATCTTGCCTTGTTTCTTTTCTGAATGCCTTGTTCCAGATGCTAATTTTGGTGAAAATAACTGCAAAATAAGAAGCCAAACAAGGAGAGTTGCTACTCCTGTGTTAAAACATCTGGGATTTTTTTGTGACACTAAAGTAAAATGCAGAGGTTAATCTCTTGAATGGGTGAGAAAAGGAGTTAAAGGCAGCCTTCCTTCCAGTGCTGTGTTTTAGTATTAGAACCCAGAGTAAAGTAAACTTGTATTTTATCAAGACCTCTGTGCTTGTTTCCAGAAATTTGGACAACCTATTCAGGAAAGATACATGGAACATGCAGAGAGACCAAAAGTTTTAAATGACCTGGGAAAGAAGATTCAGCTCTTTATGAAAGCAGTGGAAGCATACAAAAATAAGGTAGGGGGAACTCACTGGGGAATGAACTGTTACGGGTGTTTCAGTTTGGCTGTAGTTTTCTGTGTTTAAAAAGAATCCTGTAGGATTATCTGTTAAGCTGCTTTTAAATGGCTGTTGTGCTTCTCCTCCTGAGAACTTGCAAAAGTGTTCTGAGTTGCTAGCAAAAATGGCTTCTTCATGAGAACATAAATTAAACAGTCACTTTTTTTATGGTCAGTTTTAAAGCTTCATTATTGTCCTGCACATCAGCAGTATGTATCAGCATTTCAAATGTCTAAAAATAGAGTCCTGTCTGTGGTGTTCTGCAGTCTTCCTGATACTGAGCTTGTTTAAAAACTACTTCTATCAGGTTGTAGCAATGTTACCCTATTTTATTATGTGTCCATGAAATTCTTAATTGGGTGAGAAACATGTATTAATTACTATACATCTTCCCTTAGGATGAAAAATATGATCACTTAGATCCTGCTGAGATGGAGAAGGTGGAAAAATACATCAGTGAGGCAATGAATTGGCTAAACAGCAAAATGAATGCCCAGAACAAACTAAGTCTAACTCAGGATCCAGTTGTCAAAGTGGCAGAAATAGTGACAAAATCTAAGGTAAAAAAAATCTTTGTACTTCTTGTGTTCTAGTAAGTTTGTCCTTAAATGAGATTCTTGCCTCTGTATTGAGCAGGAATATTATATTTGCAGGGATCTTAAAGCCATTAAAAAGATCCATATAGAGGGAGCAGTCTTTAGCTGTGGTTCTTGATATACAGCAGTACCTCTTTAAAAGCCTTTTTAAAATAGCCCAAGTTACAGCACCAGTCTTACTAGAAAATGCACTGCCATACAGGCTTTTAACAGATTGGCAGCTCTTTTAGCTAGTGAAAGGTTTTATTTTAAGCTGATAGAACTGAAAAGTTCTAGTCCTTGAAAATTAAATTCCAGGTCATTAAGAAACAGAAGCAAATTTCAGACATTTTAGTTGAATGTGATTCCTGTGCCACCAAATGAACTTGCTGTCTCACTTCTGTTACAACTAGGAATTGGATAACTTCTGTAACCCCATTATATACAAGCCCAGACCGAAGATAGAGCCTCCCAGTGATGGGCAGTCAAAAGCTAATGGTGAACACAATGGACCAGTGAATGGACAGAGCGGCGCTGAAACAAAACCTGAACCAACTAAGGACAATTCTCCGCAGACCAAACCCCCTGGAGAAATGGAAGTGGACTAAATCTTGCATTTCTTTTACCCAATTAAAATAGTGCAAGTAACCACAGGGTCCATTCTTTTTGTCTGGTACACACCTCGGTTGTTCAGTTATTCTTAGTCAACCTTCTGTCATTTGTTGCTGAGTAGTTTTGAAAGTGTTTTATATTAAGTACATCTCTGATGTTCATTTCCACTGATGCTGCTTATGTGGAGCTTTAGCCAAATGTAGATTGTATAAGTCAGTTTAAGCTTTCCCAATATATTTTATATCAAACATACAGAATTGATATATAGATGGCAACAATCTACCTTATTTAAAGCTTTTATTGTGGATAAACCTCAGCTCCTTTATTCAGGAAAGGATACTGTATTGCACTACTGATGCTCAAGTGTAGATCTAATTGCATCTTTATTTTGGAAAAATATTGCAATTGAAGTGGCAAGACTTGTCACTTGAAGCACTGACCTTTTCTAGTTATTGTATTGTTATAATTTAAATATTAAAATAGAGTTAGTTGGCATTCTAGTCCATCTCATTGATGTACCATGAGAATTGTTTATCTTCTTCATATAAACAGAATACAAGCTTAAACATTTGAGATTCCCATACCACTACCAATATTAGTTACAAAATAATGCAGCATAATGGCTCTGCCACATGCTGAACTAAGTGAATGGTCTCAGTGCACGTTGCTGTACATAATGTACTGTGCTTACGATAGGATGATGCTAATGATAATAGTACAAAGGGGTAGAAAACACAAGGACTGTTGGATGGCTTTCCCTTGAAAATGACTTACTGCACGTTACTATTACACTTCTGTTGTTTGAAATGAAATCTGCATCTTGATTATATCTTGTGCTGGGAAGGGGAAACAACAAAAATTGTATTATGTGAGCTGGGTATGGGCACCCTGGTTTTGAATTTGCTTAAATGCTGTTGCAAACTTGAAAGAGATCCGAGAGCTTACTTAAGCCTTAGTACTTGGTGTATAAACCTTTTGTTCAAGGAGCTAAGCAAAAGAACTTAAAAACTGGATATTATTACCCCAAAGATGGAATCTACTTGATGAACTTGCATAGCTTACCAGTTATCTTCGGTCATTTAGTTGACCTAATGAAAGTGTCTGTAATGTATTACACAGTTGAGTCACTGTTTTCTTCAATACATGTTGGACACACATCTGGGACATTGTCATGGTCCAGTGTATGTTCCTGTATACTGAATGCTTCTGTCAAGTCACCAAGGTGCTGTAGCACTTGCAAGTGCAAGTCACTTTCAACAACTCTTCTATTACCAGAAGAGTAACAGGCTACTTTAGCTACTTAGAAGTGGTTTCTAAGTTGGCATATGAGACCAAAACTAGTTGCAATGTAACATTTTAGTGACTTGAACTCTGTTGCCCGTATGTATTCAAGGTGTCAGTAAGGCATTACTGCAGCAGTTCTGTGCAAGCCTGTTACTGTGAACAAGTGAAGGTTTGTGCTCTTGTTTCTGGCTTTGGCAGATGTTTTATCTCCAGACATGCCTTTCATGTTCTGCTACTGGTCATGCTACAAAGAGTAGTCTTGTCACCCAGGCTGAAGTTGGTAGAGGTGAACTGTACTCTTAAATACTCTCACAGGAAAAAGAAGCGTCATGTACAGCTGTATATAAAACTGCTGAACAGGCTCAAGTGCTAGACTTGTAGCATGTCATGATTGACGTTGGGTGACAGAGATGTGCATACTTTGCTCTAATATTCCTTTGTGCATTCAGTTGTGGAAGGTCTGGCACCCTGAGTTTTTCTGTTTAAAGCCCTTGAATAAAAACTGACCTTGAAGACCTGCAGCTACTCTGCAACCTCAGTCCTGAATTCTGCTGTTCCAGTCACGCTTCTGTGGCACTGAAGGGGGTGACAGTACTTGAGTGCCCATTGTCCTAGGGGTGAGTACAGGACTGAGCTACCTTTGGTCCTATAGGCTTTAACAGTATGAATATTTACCACAGCAGTGTAATGAGTAGCATTCTGAAGTATTGGCTTCTTACACATTAATTTGTCTAGTAGATGTGCTGATACCTGGCAGAAGAGCTCAAACACTGGGAATGTCCAGCATAAGCTCTCCCATAGATAAAAGGTCAACTGTAGGTCTTCTGCTTGTGATCATCAGATGTTTAATACTACATTACAAATAGTTGAGGAAATTCTTAGGTATGAAGTCCAGAATAATTACACAGCAAGCTTAAAACCGGATACAACAAAGCAGTACCTAAGGTTTTCTTACTAGAATAGGGCTTTCTGTGGTGTGGGTTTTTTGTTTGGGGTTGATTGGGTTTTTTTTCCCCTCCCCATGCATCTGCTCTGTCTCTAAATCCCTGAGCATTACCCACAGATTGCTCATTGCAGCTGGTTCCCAATGTACATGTGAATAATTCCATTTGGAAGGGCGAAGTTGTTCTTTGTACAGAGCTTCACATGAAAATGTGAAGGCATAACTTGTTAACATGGTATCTGTTTTCTGCTACGATAGGCAAATCCTACCAGGACACAGATTTAAGGTTCTCAAATACTTTCATAAGCTATGCACAATTCTGTGCATCAGACTCAGTGAGTTGGTACCTTCTGGCTACCCCAACAGCCCCAGGATTAGTGTCTTGCAACATAAGCTAACAGGTTTTGTTAGGGAACCCACAATTGTAGTTACTGTGCATCTGGTGTATTTTAAAAGTAGGTATTTGTTCCTAATTGTCTTAGTTGAAATTTTAATAGAGGACAAGATATGTTCAAGCATTTGAAAACGTTCATCCCACACAAAAGAAAAACTGGGTAGCAAAACTGTTAGTAAAGGTGGTACAGTTTTGGGTTGTGTTTTTTTGGGTTTTTTTGTTTGTTCTTTTTTTTTTTAAGGTTGGTTAATCACAGGCTAAAACTTCATGTAAAAGCTTAGTTACAAAGCAGTATAAATACTTTATTTACCACTAACATCCTCTTTGCTTTAAAGAGGACTGATTCCTTCTTGTTGAGCATTAATGCTTGCTCAAGAAATGGCTTTAAATTTTACTTGCTTTACTAAACTTAAGCGGCTGCTAAGCTCTTTCACAACTGATTCATGGCTTTCTTTCCATGTCTTTTTATTACAATAGCTTAAACAGCAGTTTTCTTTGAACTTCAGTCAGATATAACATAAATAGATGTTATTAACAATCTCTTGAAGTTAAACTTTTATACTCTCTTTAGAATGACAAGGGTGCTACATGCTCAAAATAACCCAGTACAGCTGTCTGCCTTGTTTGGCCTGCATTTGAATGTGGGTCTGAATTTGAATGCAAAACTCTCTCCCTTGCTTGCCCCTGGCATTGTCATCCTTTCCCTGTTTAAATGCTGCCATTGGGGCATGACTGCAAAACCTAGGTAGGCAGATGAATTCTGAATCTCCCCAAGTCTTTTGGGTATTGCCAAACCTGTACTGCCACTTCGGTATCCCAAGAAGACATGGTGGAAGGGGAAGTTGCCCTTGTCTCCATCGGTATGTCAGCACTGGAGGGGAAAGCGAAGTACATGGACCTGAAACTAGTGTTCTGCATGGGCAGCCAGAGGGTACATGGCGAACTGGGTGAGGTTTTTGGTTCTTCCACTTTGAAAGCTGTTAATAATCCAATCTGTCCACTGATAATATTCCTTGGTAAATACTGGTATGATCAGTATATGAAGGAAGTTAATATTATTTTGAAGCATCTCAGTGTGCTGAACTCTAACCTGCTACAGATTGTTCCTGTTAACTGTTCTAAATACTCCATATTTCGTGGTTTATTTTCTGGTTAAGGATTACATTTAAGTAAATACAGGAAACAGGCAAGGAGCTGGCAGGAGACTTTGCTTCCTGAGTATTTTTGTCTCAGACAGTGGCTTTCAAAAACATGATCCATTTGACAAATATGCTGCATTTGCTGATCCAAAGCACCTAGCCAGCTGCTGTAGGAAAAGAAGCTAAATTCAATTCCCGTAAATTAACATCCTGAGGAATCTCATCGCTCAGAACAGGATTTTCATTTCTGTGTTTCCACACTTTTAATATGCTAACTTCTAAAGTGAACCCCAGACTTAAGTTGTGGGTCAGCACAGTCTTACCTGTTCTGAGGATGCTTACATTGGCTACCACTAGCTGTGAGCTGACCTTAACTGCATCAAAGAATGTTATGCTGCCTCTGATCTTTCTAGCCTTTCAGGCACCAGAGGATACAAACTCACTGTCAAAAGAGATAGTAAAAACTATGTTGCATAACAAAAAGCAGTTAATCCCTCATCAGTTTTAATGTCAACTCCCAGGATAACATTTGGGCTATAAATACAAACTCAGTTGCTAGAGAAAGTGTATGGTGGCTGACTGAGCCAAATTTTTAATTCTCCACAGTTGAAATTTGAAGGTTTCAGCTGCTTACTACACATGTAATTAACGGTGAAAACAAAGTGACTGTTAACAGATACTAAACCAGGAGTGTGCTCATGTGACCTACCTGATCCAGATACTAAACCCTGTTTTCCATCTTTCCTGTTCAGAAGGAAATATATCAAGCAACGAAAAGCAGGAATGGCAGCAATGTAATCTAAGAATAATTTTGTTTATCTTGTTTTAGGAGCTTTACCCACCAGCCACCTCCACAAAGTGCTGGAATGATATAATTGAGTTTTAAAAGGTGGTAGGCCCTGAATGTTGCATAGTTGGAAACGTTCATTTACTAGTCTAAACATAGTTCCAGAGAAAAGGGGGAGGGAAGAGATGGGAGTGTCAGAATTGAAAGCAGTGTTTTAAGTATGCAAAATGTTTACTCTGTATGTAAATGGGATTCTTACTAGTGACAGACCATGTGCAAATTGACAATACTTCAATTTATTTTTGAATGGCAATATAGATTGTCAAGGTTGTGTATAATTATAATAAATATATAAACTGCTACTTGAACCATAAATGAGCACCCAAGACCTCATTTTTACATCAGTGTTCTTAAAAGAAGCATTGTTTGATGTCAGGGATGGATCTGTGTTTGTTCAGCAGACTGTGGGTAAGAAACGGATGTTTCTGGTGGCTTACCTGTCCTGCTTGCTTAGTCAGATGTGGTTTCTCCCAGGCTTCTCTGTCCTGATTAGCTGTGTGGACTCTCTTCTACTGCCAAACCCCACTAGATGAACTACCTAGGACACCAGGACTCTGTGCTCCACATGGTGCACCCCAAGGATAGTACTGCTGTACCTTTGGGGAACTCCAGGCATGGTCACATCTCCAGTCAGATTTGTGCACTTGGATGAGCACAAATTGCCAAATTTCAAGTAATTCACCTCTCACAAATGATTCACTGCAACATACAAACAAGTTCAAAGTAGTTTTCTTGTGTCTTGAACTGCTTGGGGAAGTTGATGGCTCCAGGCACTGTTGGTTCTCTGAGAAGATCCTGGAGTGCAGCAGTCCATGGTTTTCCTCCAGGAATTCTTTCATGTCCTGGCAGTGCAATGGGAATCCCTTCAGCAGTATGTAATGACTTGTAGAGTATCTGCATGACCTACAAGAATGGATCAAAACACAACATGACTCCACATGCTTATAATCCATTTTCCTCAGTATGCCACTGAAAGCTTCACAAAGTCTGCATTTCTTCTAGGCTTTGGATCTCAATAAATAAAAGTATAATAAGAACTTCAGTTTCAATGACATCATTAATTTCACAGACAAGTTTGGAATTTAGGGGTAAGGAAAGGTCCTTCCTATTGAAAAAAGTACACGTGTATGTACATATACGCACACATGTGTACATATACACACATGTTCATACATAAAATGTATGCTCTGAAAATCACCTCCATGTGCTTAACAACAGTCAGCACAGGGGAAAATACTGCCCTTAACCTACTTAGCCATAAAAGCATCTCAGACTAGTAAACCAGCTGGTTACAATCCAGTATTTACCAGCTGTGCAAGGATGCTCTCCATCAAAAAAAGAATTCCACGGTTATGCTGCAGAAGAGGAAACTTAACTACTCCAGCAAAATGAAGTGAATGTGAGAAGCAGCTGAAGGTAGCTAGCTGAGACACTCAATGAGCTGAAGACATAGCTGTGAGGTCACACTAATGGCATATGCATCACTAATGAAACAAATTGTGAGGATCCAAATTTCAAATTTTGCCCGAAAATCAGCTCCTCTGGTGTTGCAATATCCTAACACTATCTCAAGGAGATGACTTGGCGCAATTTCAGGGAGAAAATAGCTGCTTATAGAACAAAACCAGCTTATTCCCAGAGACTGAGTTGGTCACAGAGTTTCGGAACAAGAGTGTCCCAGTGATGAGCAACATGACTGCAAACAACTGGAAAAAATGCATAAATTACATCTTATGCTCAGGTGACATTTTGTTTTCCTGGATAATGTCAATAAACCAAATTTCAAAGCCAAAGAGGCAGACACATGCCCTGATGGTGAAGTATGAACTGAAAAAAAAAGAGGGGGAGAAAAACCTCCTATGATTAGGATTTCTTGCAGGCATATTGCAATGTAAATGATATTTTGTTGAGGAAGCTTTCAAATCTCTTACTGCACCCTTTATTATGTTCTTCAAATCCACCTGAATGACCTTAGCAAGTATCACTACCCAGGGGATTGAGCCTTCTTGCAAATCCAGCTGCCTGCTCTGTAACTGAGTATTAATTACAACTAAAAATATACAAAACCAGCTTTAGAGTCAATCAGAATTTCTGACATAATAGGCTAGGGAAATACTGAATAGATTTTTATTTCAATTGGTTATTAGCTCTAGGTACCCAAATAGCAGTGTTGCTGTGCAGAAAAATCTGTC